CCTATAATGAGTTTACATATTATGTACACATGTACATATCGCCCGCCGTCTTCAAAAGAGTCACAACTCAAAATTTGGCATTTTTAAAATGATGAGCTTTTATTTACCTTTCAACAAAAGCTAGAGCACATTTTTGTTATAATTTGTTAAAAAAAAAACCTAAGGTAAAGTCGCCCTTGCCCATATGATTAGCATGTGTTACGAAGTAGTTTTTTTGCATTTTCTGACGAACGTATTATTTTGAGTTGTGTCCCTTTTGAAGATGGTGTGCGATATCGTCTCTAATCCTTGTTTAATCCATGTATAACCCGTCAAGACATGTCAAGTCTTGATTTCAAGTCTGCTCGTTCATAGGCGAAGTAGGTGAGACGAATGTACTCTTCCCCTCTCTTCTCACCTCCTTCGCCAACGAACCGAGCAGGCTTGAAAGCAAGACTTGACGTGTCTGAAACGGGTCTTACTGCATTAATCCTTACTATTTACTTTAGCAAGGATTAGACATGGATAAGGCAAGGATTAGAGACATTAGCCACTTAACAGTAGCAAGCAGGAGATTTTATTTGTTGAATTTTGAATTGTGTCGTTATTGCAGAGGACCATCGATATGTATGATTTTAAATCTTTTTTAAATTCGATTTAGAAGCATTTTATTTATTTAAGGCAAGCACTAATTTTGTCATAAAAACATTAAGTTTTAAAGAATTTCACTTAAAATGTACATTACAGACCGTATGTATATGTAGTAAAAATATTTAAATTTTTTCGAATATAATATAGCAGCTAGCAATTTCCACTTTTAAGACTTACTAAATATGCATATGTATGTCAAGTTTTAAAACGATGTGCATTAGCAACGAATGCACTATATATTTTATCTAATAGTGCGAAAAAGTATTTAGTTATTGAAAATTGGATTTTTACAAAATTCGTTCTTATCAGTGAAAGACTTGGTCTATTATATAATAAAAGTCATATTTGTATAGTATAGTAGTCTTTTGTGAGTGAAATCAGCGCTTAAGCTTTTCGGAATTCCTTTTCATTTTTGATACAAATATCTTATTTGAAATTTAATGTACTTGCGTGTACTTATATACATATTTAAGTATTTCGTAAGGACTAAAATATCACATGGATATTAATTACGTATTTATAACCGCTCTGATGCGAAGGTATTAAAATATTTAACAATCTGAGCACCTTATTGGTTACTTCATTATATCTATAGCTATGCAATTATTTTTATAGTACATGATACAAGTACTATTTTAATTAATACTACTACTATTAGTTATTTTGGTCAATTATGTTTGACTGGAAGATGAGCGTTTTATTTAACCATAGTTATAACTGTGTTAATGAATATGTTGGAAAACGTTGTATTAAAGATTTCTTAGTTCTACTCTATTCTCGCTTGTCTCAATGTTTGCTATAAATTTTATAAATCGATATTGTGTCTACGAAATTCTAATAAATAGTAATTGCTACTACTTTAGTTTGATGCATAAGATAAGCTTAATTGCGTTGTGCTATCACTTCGTATTTGTTCCTTTGGGACATAACGTTTTATATTAAATTGCTACGTTGTTAGGACTACTCAACAAATTTAACAACTAGTTATTAACTAGGACATATATAAAAATTTATACATTCATGTAGCGGTAGCCGCCACTACCAATTCGGTAATTGTCATTCAGTTTTATATACTGTCCTAGGAAGTATTGTACTGGTCCACTACGACAAATCCCATGTAAATAGGCCACCAAATATGGTGTCAAAATTGTGAAGACAATATAGCCAACAGTCGGCATACGGCCGGTATGACCTACTGGGCAAAACCAATAACCACGTCGCACAGCGTCACGGGTGTGATGAGTAATAAAAGCGCAAAGAAATACTCCAAAGGTTAATGATGTTTTAAAATAGTTGAGGCTTGTGGTGCATATATAGAAAATGAGCAGTACAAACAATATGCTCGAACAATGTAGAAAAGGACGACGTGGTAAATTAGTCGCATCCTACAAATTTAATTATTTAGAAAAATATGTTATACAAAAGATTCATGAACTTTTCTCACCTCTAAATACAATGAGCGTGCTTCTATAAAATGGTCTAAATCGATTAAAGATGATACAGCAAAACAACAGAAAATCAAAAACCATCCAAGCAAGTTGCTGGTGCGCTCGTGGAATTGAACCGCGAACGCGATCCCGGTTAATGCACCAATTATAGCATGAGTAGCATTATCGGCTAATGCCTTTAATAGCGGATGTTGTGTAAGTTCGACGAAATTATCTCCCAGAAGGCAGGTGATAGTCAGTAGCGTTGTAAGCACAATACGAACATAGACCATGATATGGCAGTGCATTTGCAGTTTAAGCGAAAAGCTAAGATTACTGGAAATATGAGTACAAGTGCAGAGCGAAGGGAATGTCGACCTTAAACGAAAACTTTCCTCGGCGATCTTTTTAGTTGGACGGACCAAAACTTTTAATTGTTTTCTTGCGTCATTCAATTATTTCCGTTTTAGAAAATTGTAAACTAGTCTTCTATACTTTATCTCATAACTGTTGTATAAGTTGTGCGTTAAATTTTAATGCATAAATGTACACTTGGCAAAAAAAGGCACTATTGTACACATTAAATTTTGATTTCGTTTAATTCAGTGAGTCACCTATTAAACTAAATAAAATAAACTATAAAATATGTAGTTAGGTGTCCTAGTGAAAATACAGAAAATTGAGTTTTACCTGTGTCGATTTTTCACAGCCGTACACGCGACACCTTTTGAATTGGCCATGTGCGAAATGCGAAATATGGGGTGGTGACAATTTCCAGCTCCCTCCCACTGCTACAACAATGTCCTTAATCCTTTTCGACGGTTTGTGTACAATTTACAGCGTTTATTGTTCCGTTTCTCATATTTTTTTTGTTTTTTGTTTTCACCGGCCTATGCTAATCAGCTGTACGACCACGGTTGCATATGAGAAATGAAAAACCTTTAAATTAACCTTTCTGAGCGCGCTAAAAATTAATTTATCGAAAGTATAAATTCTACGTACTACATGAGTACATATCGCTAGCTTAGAGTGAAAAGTTGCTAAGTCAGTTTTTATGAAATCTCATATTTTGATACAGGAGGCTGGAGAAATTAAAAATGCATCGTTTCGAAAAGGGTAAAAGTTTCGGTTTAATGTATTCTCGTATATATTTTATTATTGAATGAAAGGAAAATTTGCTAAGTCCAAAAAAAGCTCCGAAAATTCGATAAGGCCATAAGGGATAAGTACGAAATCTTTTAATGAAGATCTAATCCCCCTGACTCGTACGGAGTTTCGTATGTTGTATTCAACGTTTTGCGAAATACTTGCAGAAAATGGCCAAGCAGTCTTTTACCTCTCCTGTACAATTTTTAAATTGGGACTTAGCAACTTTTCACTCTATAGCGATATTTTCTTATTGGGTACTATTTATTGATAAAGTGAAAATTCTTTGTTTGTTATAAATCTACTACATTATTATTCGATAGATTGGAATTTATTTAACATGTATAAGAAAATTGCATGGTTTATTAACATACATATATTTGTCATGCAATCTTCCTGTTCGTGGCGTGGCGCCAAATTAAAACAGCTGTTTAATAAAGATGCATTTTAGAATGCTGGAAGTTCAACTTAAATTTCGAAGTAAACTTAAATATGAACAGTAAAATTAAAAAAATACGCCTTCCAGTAGAGCTGAAACAACTGCAGAAGAACAGTTCGGAACATGGTAATTTAATAAATATTGACCAAGTTATTGTATTGACCATCTCTTCGTTTTGTAAAAATGAAATCTTTGCAGGAATCACTTGTGCTTTTGCAGATTCGAATGATAACTCTTCGCATTTAATAGCAAATATACCGGGACCAAAAGGGTCTCCGTACGAAGATGGAATATTTAAAGTGAGCATTGTTTTGGGCAGCCAATATCCTTTCCAACCACCCACTTTCAAATTCATGTCGTCCATCTATCATCCAAATATTGACAATTGTGAGTTACTTTAAATAAAAATAGATTTATTCGATTTTTGTACATATAACTTCCTTAGCGGGCAAGATTTGCTTGGATTTATTGCGTATGCCACCTACTGGCTCATACAATCCTGCTATTACACTAGAGTCAATGCTGCTGTCAATCCAGTTGCTTTTATCCTCCCCTAATCCAGACGATCCTTTAAATGGCGAAGCTGCCGACTTGTTCAAAACAAGTAGGGAACAATTCAACATAAAAGCACGCGAGTTAATACCCAAAAATTGTTTGAATGCCGAAGAGTCAGATAAGGAGACTGCGACCGACACAACACAGGATGTCTCCAACAAGTGTGATGATACAGTAGTAGGACCAGCATCAAAGCGAAATAAACCCTGCTAAACCCGGCCTCGCAATTGGGGGGAAATTACAAAGCAAGCTGTTGAGGAATAAAATTATATTTTAATATCTTCATTTCGCAAAGTTTTATCTTCGTTAGAATTATTTTTATTCAATACAGTTCAGTTTATTTCAATTAATATTATTCTGACAATTATTTAGTTAGCAATTCTAGTTGTAATGGGCGTGTTAAAATGTTAAACTGCGAATTTCAATTAGACGCAAGATGCGCTTGCTTGTGTTCTATAAGTTGCTATACGCCATTTCTAAAACGTAAAATTCTCAAAAATAAACGAGAACTAAACAAATAATTAACAAATAAACATATTTCTTTAACTATTTGACTGTTTCGCTGTATATCTGCCTCATTATCGTCTTTACATAATTATGTCTAAATCAGAGTCATTCAGTTAATTGGGATGGGCCATGTCGGATAAGATAAGAACATACTTTAAAATACTAAATAATAGCAAAATAATTACATGAAAGCATTGTTTAAAAAATTGAATTACATCTACTTAAAATGTTCTTACAAATAACGCATATCTCTCAGTAAACGACTTGTTTTATATGTTCGCTCTCAGGCTCACGGTGGCGGCGTAGGCAGTGAACTGACAACAGATCGTAGAAACATTTTTGAACTACAAAATAAAATCGGTTACAGATGAATTTCATAATGCATAGTCTGGTGGTGTACTACTAAATGGATGAATGTGTTATATGAGACGACGCAGCGAAGACACTTTCTATTTGACATTGACCATTCTGGCGAGAATTAAAATGTCCATCGCTAAGCAGCTCATCATATAAGGATGTAAGAATCTATGTGTCCTTGTGTTTTTCGTAAAAGGCATCCAGGTATTTTTTGTACTCAACTTGGTCCGCCCACATCATTGCTGCTTGAGCATTTAGCGGACTGTCATTATTAGGCTCACCCAAAAGCGATTGGATGGACAGCAGAATTGTGCGTACATCATATAGTGCGGACCACTTATCTTTTAATATATCCAAACAAATGCAGCCAGCTAGATCGACATTTGGATGGAAACATGGTGTTAGAAATTTCACTGCTGGCGGTGCGTAGGGATATGAGTTTGGAAATTCCAATGATAGACGATATTTTTGTCCCATATACACAGTATTGGCTGGGCCAGCAATTGTACCAATCCATTTAAATATATTTTCTCCATCGGGGAAAGCTGATATACCTTTCTCTGTAGCCATCATCAGATTCATCAGCTCCTTTTGAAGTCTGAAGTGAATAAAGAAAAATAGCAGGTATATGGGTAATTATGGAGACATTTCTGTGGTGGACCTACCGTTTACTAACTGCATGTCCATGCTTTGCTGCACAGGAGTTGGAGCCTTGCTTGGCAGCGTCTACGCCACTATGCTCTGGACTGATGTTCTGCGCCATTGCGTTTTGAAGGAATTTCTTACTGATCCAAGGACTGTTCAATTCACAAACTAAGGCGAGGACAATTTTACCAAATTGCTTATTTTTAGACCCTAACCAACGCGTTTATTTATTGCGAGCGACAATTTTTTCTGCAGCTGCCTTGTTTTCTCTATTTGATGACTTTTTTCGAATGTCTTTAGTGATGTGCTGAATAGTCGGTCCCAAATATGAGAAAATAATTGCGGTACCCAATACTTTGTTTTCGGTACCTGATACCGATTCGATGCACTAACAACCCTATTTCATAACAATAACAATGACAATTGTCACCATTAGAGCGCTTCAAATAAATTGCGGCATAGTATTAGGCGCAGTATTTAAGACAATACTCAACCGTTGAATTTTGTCTAGGGCTGTAAAGAGCGAAATACACGGAAGAAGACTAAAATGCTTTGTATGTTTCACAAGCCGCTTGTGTGGTGTATTTCGTTCTTAATGCCTCAAATACACCACATAAGTATTTGTGCAAATTCTAATTGGTGCAAATAATGCCTTGATTATAATATAAGATTATTTCGTTTTACGTTACATTTACGTACATTATAGCAATTTGCATTCTATACACAAACAAACAGTTATTGTTGTTGAGCGGGTAAACCCCGCTCGAGTTGGCTTATCTATCTGCGTTGTCGTCTGGTTCAGATTAAGTGACAGTTCACTCCGCCCCGTTACTTCCATTGTAACCCAGGGATACGCACGAACAGAAATTCGAAAAATTCTTATATGTGTCAACTTGTACTTAGCAAATACTTGTGTAGAGTAGGGGCCCTACAAACCTTTGGCCAAGGTACATAAATTTCAAGTTTGGAGAAAAAAATGTCATTGTACAAATAAGACGTTGATTTCTCAAAGGATGAGCAATGTGTATGTACACATTTAAGTTTTCCGTTTAGATCCAAATAATGTAGAAAAATAGTTTTTTTTTAATCACAAATTAACAAGATTCGTTTAACAGCTGAATGGGGTTTATTTTATATTTTTAGCTGTTGCAGAATCTTATTAGAAATTCCAATGTATAGGCACCAAATGTCGAATGTATTGGGTACTGTTCAAATCGGTACCGAGTATTGATCAATACTTTAAGGCATCGACTCAGCACATTTCTAGTATTTTGACACTACCCAACCGATTGGGATTTCTTGTGGGAAGAAAGAAGAAACAAATAAACAAAATGGAGATTTTGGAGGCCCATCTAGCGGTGACTAGCCACACAAGAGGAATGATTTGGCAAATGACACGTATACTTGACATTCAATCAGTGTTGCCAACTTTACCGTTTCAAAAAGCACCAAATTTGGGAAAAAGGCGTTTTAACACATTATAAGCACTAAATTTTATTAATCAAAGGATAATTTTTTTCATAACAGTTTTTTTTTACAAAAGTAAACAAATTAACAAACACATGCTATGATGATGCATGCTTACTAAGTAATACCGAAGTACTGCACATTAAAACTGGTATATCTCGAGAAAGAAAAATCGAATCGCAACAAACGAAAAGGTATTTTAAAGGGGAAGAGAATACTCAATGATGCCCTACGTAGAAATTAGAAAAAAATTGTTGTTTTCATAATGTAACCTCAAATATCGCCAAAACCGTGTTTCTGGCACTCTGAGGTTAATATATCTCAATATTCTGACGTGCTAGAGCGGTTCTGCGGCCAGATTTGGATTCAACACCAAAAAATCTACAAGTAACGATGTGTTTTACTCATGTGGTATATTCAACATTTTTCGAATTTTGTAATCAATTAAAATATGTACAAATAATTATAATACAAAAATAATTTTAATAATCGAATAATTATAATTATAATTAGAAAAAAAAATACATACTTAACTTATTTACCTGCGCTTTTTATCAATCATGGTTGCATTTTAGTGCTTTTAAATTTGTAAATTCAGTGCTGCCACAGCTTTAAATATTTCAAATTATTTCGTGTTTAACTATCTATGAGAAATTTGAGTTCAGAAAAAAAGCACTAAACGAGGCACTAGGCCCTAAACTATTTTTTTTGGCGTTTTAATTTTCAAAAATCACTAAATGTAGAGCTTAAAGCAAAAAGTTGGCAACTATGCATTTAATTGGCTTTCGTGTAACAACTCTGGCAAATCGCACACCGTCTTCAAAAGAGTCACAACTCAAAATAATACGGTTGTCAGAAAATGCGAAAAACTATTTCTTAGCACATGATAATCATATGGGCGAGGGCAACTTTACCTTAGATTTTTTTAACAAATTATAACAAAAATTTGCTCCAGCTTTTGCTGAAAGGTAAATAAAAGCTTTGTATGCATTTTTAGCGCATAATTTCAAAAGTGATAAATTTTGAGTTGTAACTCTTTTGAAGACGGTATGCTATTTTGTTTTCTTTTTAGAAAAAAAAAAAAAAACAAAATCAATAAACAAATTCACAAAGGAACAGGACGCAACTATTTTGGATTTGCTTGGACTCAAAACAAATGGCCCAGTCTTCACAAATAAATCAATCGCCTCCTGCAAAGGGAAATAATGGAGTCGCAACGGAAGATGTCACTCCAGAAAGCGAATTTGAGGGATTCCATAACTACACTGCAGCCGAAGTTTTCATACAAGGTCTAGCTGGATTAGTAAATCAAGGCGATGTCGAAACCATGATACGCGCGCAGAAACAAATGCAAGATGAACATCTTTTCTTTTTATCTCACAATTTACATAAAAACTATTTTTGTTTTACGCAGGTTACAGCGCTTTGAGAAGACGAATGAGATGATGTTAAACTGTAATCAATTATCACAAAGTCGCCTGAAAAATGCAAACGACGACTTTAAAAAGCATGTAAAATTGTTAACTGAAATGAAAAAGGATCTTGATTACATTTTTCGAAAAGTGCGTTCCATTAAACAAAAACTGAACCAACAATATCCCTTAGCCTACGCCGAAGCCCAACCACAAAGAAGCAGCTTAGCTGAAGAAGCAGAAGACGAGACAGAAGTAGCGAGTTCTCT